ATGACATTGCACAGCATAAAGGGAGGACAGAAGCAAAGCTTTAAAAAAGAAAGAAAGGAAGGAAGAAGGAAAGAAGGAAGGAAGGAAAGAAAGAAACCTTAACACGATACAAACCAGAGGAATGCCTAGCACGCTATGCGAGTTGTTGCTACGCACAAAAAATACAGAAGCATCTGACGGAGAGAAAGACGGACACAATATCTGCAAACGACCACAACTGGGTACAATAATCATTTCATCTGACGTGTTATGCAGCATAGAAACTACTATTGTTTTCTAACCAACAAAGAAAAAGACAACAACGTTTGTCTCTTATCAAAAATCTAAACCCCTCATGGTCAGGTGTGTAGTTAATTACGTATTTACTTTTCTTTTTCATTGCTAAGGAAGAAGTCCCTCTGCTCTTAGAAGATTTTTCTACTCTATTGATCTTTTATTTCATTTCATTTTTACCTGATGATTGTCTTAGGCACCCTCCTTACATAATAAACCATCAAGCTAACTTGAACAGGGAAACTTGGTCACATTCAACAATAGCTAAGGTCAAGGGTGTGCTGAGAATAGAAAAGGGGGAAGGGACAAGTCTGATGGGCTGACTGTGACTGGACAGCAAACACGGGTAGTTATGACAACAACTACTGAAGCAAGTGGAAGACTATTGTAAAGTTTATTGTTATTTTTTTAAAAAAATACTTGTCAGTTGGTTCAGACGCCAAATCTAAAATGAGCTCACAATGATTATGTAATAAATGCAGAACATACTACCAAAAAAATCAAAACTAACATAGAATAGAAAATGTGACCTAGTAGAGCTAAGTCTGCTCTGAGCTTCGTTACTGATGCTAAATTGTCTCCCTCAAAGCCTTTCCATGGCTTTCTGACTCACTGCAGAGCCTTCCTGTCAAAAACGGGGAAATGGGCGCTGCTTACCAACAGAACACCCTGCAGCTCACAGCAGACTTACTACGCTATTAACATACACAATGAGTATAAAAATGTTCCTCTTGACCAAAATCTACACCTTCCCTTTGCTTCCCCACCCCAACATGCCTGTGAAAGAAAAGGTCAAAGGCATGTGTTGAGAGGGGAGGTGTGCACACCTGTAAGCTTGTGACGTAGTTGAAACAACTTCAGCAAAGTGGACTGGAGCCTCAGTTCCTGTGAGGATGACGGACCCCTGGTCCTCAAGGATTCTGGGTGTGCTGATCAAGAGCCAGAGCTGCCTTGGCTAAGGGGCCTGTGCCAAGGCTCATCAAGAGTGAGAAGACACAAATCCAGAAAGCTCTGGGGTGTACTCACCTCCCCCCGACCCATTCAAGAGAGCCTCTTTATTTGAGTTTGGTGCATGTGGGAGGGCAAGGGAGGACAGCTGTGGGAGTGGGAATGTGGAGCTCTGAATCATTTTTCTTAAATTAGGGTGATCATTGAGTCACAAAACTTTGTTTTGCTTCTTGTGCTGGCTGCTGGGGATTGGCGGCCCCCAGCCCTGCTTTCTACCTGGAAGTGCAGAAACAAGAGGAGATTCAGAGGATTTCCAGATTCAAGTTAGCTTGTCTCTTCGGGTTTTTACACGTCTACTCATACCCGTGCAGATGGTTAAAGACACACAAACAACAAACAAACAAAAGCAGTAATGGACCAAAGTATCTCACAAACGCCGGTGCTTCAAAACATTAAAAAAAAACAAAGGTCTTAAATTCATTGAAATTTCAGGTCTTACCTGCAAAGCAATTTTTTCTTTAAAAGGAATAATAATAAATTAAAGAAAAACCCACAAATAATGTCTTTCTTCTTTCTACCTTGGAACACTCATTTGGCATGTACAAGTTTTCAAGGGGGACCTGGCAGTGTACACAGCACCCGCAGAAGTGCCTGCTAAGGATAAGCTAAAGGAAAACACCCTGCAGTGAGCTCTTGCATTCAGCTTATCAAGAACAAAAGAGATCGTAACATAATGTGTTGGTCATTTCCATTCTACTATATACACTGTAAAAACTACACAGTTATAAATTAACACAGTGATTAAATAAGCTCATATAAAATGTAATTAAATTAAAACAAATCACAGCACATTGTAGAGAAAAATAGGAACCAGTTTCACAAAAAGAGATTTTATATATAAAATAATTTTTTACCCTGTGGAAACAAATTATCTATGAAACGCAAAACTTTCATAAGTAACCATCAAAATGAAAATTGTTTCTTATTCAATTCTTGCATTTTTTATACAACCCTTAACCCACTTGGGGAACATTTCCAGAAATTAAGTCTTCCTTGAGCAACTGAGCAGTTCGGTCAAGAAAATAAACCCCAAACCAAAGGGGGAGGGAACACCCAATATACAATCTACAAAATAAATAAAAATTATAAAGTTTTTTTTTAAAGTAACCTTAACAATTATCAAACTAGTAAGTTCTGCCTTATCACATAGACTCTCTATACAACATAACCCTAAAACTTTATTACCATGAGGTATTTGGAGAAATTGGTAAAAGTGATGCACGGCCTGCCTGGGGAAGGGATCCGGTGAAGGGGGGGTGGTCTCAGGAGAGAACAAGAAAGGAGGAGCTTTGGTTTATCAGCAAGAAATTGGGGGGGGGAAAGTCATCCTTTGGTATCAAAGAAAGTTTCATTGCATGGTTGCACAGAAAAAGCACCACGGTGAATAATTATTCCTTTTTTTTTTTTTTTTTCATTAGTGGCCTTTCTAAGAGGCTGAGGTATTCAAAGAGAATAAGGTGAGAGAGGTTAACAGCGGTTTAACACTTTGGTTCAAGCAAGGCACTCATCCTAGGAGTTTACAAAGTTCGCAACATGTTTGCCTAGAGATTTACAAGAACTAGCAGTAGTGATAGCAGGTTTTCCTAACGTTGTTATCATTATCGTATTGTTATTAAGAATGAAGACAAGTTTATACACTGAGTGAAGAGTAAGGAGGTGGGGAAGGGAAGGGCCGGAGTTCCCTCTACAGACCATGGCCGTGCATGAAAATATCTTTGGTATTCTTTGGTATATCAATGTGATTAAAATCACCAATGGAAATTGAGTGAGGTAGCATCTTTGGTTTACACTATAAATAGTAGATCTTTACACTTTTTTGTTTTTTGTTTTTTGTTTTTTTTTTTGTTTTTTTTTGTTTTTTTTTTTTAAACACATGGAAGTAGCTATTTCTTACCTTCTGCTTCTTTGTCCTTACTATTTAGGAAATAGTTACCAAATGCACTGTAAAGCGAACCCACACCACAGTTATAATCCAGAAGGCCAAGTGCATCCCCCAAGCAGCCTCTGGCATTTGAATGCACCTAAACAGCTAGATAGGAAAAAGACAAGTGCTTTCTCTTTGTTTGCTAAATGCATAGTTTCATCCTTTATGTACAAAGGAGGGAGGACCTTTTTTAGGGAAAATGCCTTCCTAGCTCATGGGAAAATGTCCTAGGACTCTTTGGTATAGCAAAGCTGCATTTAACCTGCAAAGACGGGTTATTCACCCAGGGTAGTAATAGGACTGAGATGGGTCCAAACACAGGATAGTGCCTTTATGTTGTTCTGGAGAAATAATTATGTTTTTTTGGAGGGGGGGGGTGTTGGAGGGCATGGTGAGTGGTATGTTCTGTCAGAACTTCTGGATCTCCCTACACACTTTCTTTGGTCTTTGGTGTCTATTCCTGTGGCTTCCAGGATGGGATTACTTGGTCCCTGGCTTCCAGAATTCTTCTATCTGGACACTGATTGAAGTCTGGATTTTACAGTGTCCAGATTTCAAACCTCCTGGCCCACCTTCAGAAAAGCTTCTGGTTATTTGAGGACCTGAATGTACAGCCCAAACCAGACTAACTTCCATTCTACCAAAAAAAAAAAAAAAAGAAAGAAAGAAAAAAAAAAAAGAAAAGTATTTGAAGTCCAGTTTTGTGATTACCATGCATGTGGGTGGAAGATAAGCTCTTTGGGTGGATTTTGCCACAGGACCAAGAATCGAACAAAAGATGTGATCTGCTCTGTGGAACATGATGGGAGCTGTCAATCAATGCTACGCTGAATGGGGATGGAAACAATATTTTCTGTATGCTAGTTCAGAAGCAAATAAAGAATCCGTCCTACAGTGTGTGCGATAAAGGTATTGCTTGTGAGAAGCTGAACTGTCTGCTATGATTTCTAAGAAGCAAAAGCTGTATGCTTAGTCAAGTAAGAAAATTGCTTTTCAGGCTCTGACTTGTGCCTCTGTTTATGAGAAAATATATCTCTAGACCCTGAAATTGCTTTATGGGTGCAAATTTAATGCTGGTATGGAAATCATCTTTGGTGTTAGCAAGTAGGATAACTGGGTATTTCTCAAAAAAACCCCATCATGGTGGGATATTTAAAATGTAGGCCTATCCTTAGAGACTGTGCTACACGGTACCAAAATGACTGGCTTGAAAAATGCAAGATGCAATTGGATTAATTTTGGGAGTTAACACAGAAAAAACAAAGACAGGTTTGACTGAATCCAAATTCTGTTTTCCTTGGAGTGCTGAAATTTGGTAAGATTGTGTGTAGACGCAGCTGGAATTTCCCTGCGTTTTAAATTCTCATTTTAGATACATAAGGCTTTCCTCCCTCTTAAATTATAAATGCATGATATACTTGTACTTTCCAACTCCCTTCTCTCCACAGAGAGATATATATTCATTATTTTTCTTTTTTGTCTATGTCACTGATAAGATTATAATTTTAGCAGATCTTGAAGGTTAGTCATTTAAACTGTCTCTTCGTAGTTGAGCTAGAATTGTGCCATATTTAGAAGGAAACTTTTGAGCTAGAATTTTGAAAATTAAAAAATTTTTAATTAAAAATTTTTTTTATGTGTATGAGTGTATTGTCTGCATGTGTGTAAGTACACCCGTGTCGTGCAGTGGCCAGGGAGGTCAGAAGAAGGCATTGAATTCCCCTGGAACTGGGGTTACAGACAGTTGTTAGCCGCCATGTGGGTGCTGGAAATCGAAATTGGGTCCTCTGTAAGAGCAGTCAGTGCTTTTTAACCACTGAGACATCTCTCTAGCCCGAAAATTAAAATTTTTGAGACTCAAAAAATACCAAGACAAAATCCGTCAAGGCAAACACAGGGTTCCACTAAAGGGGAAGGGTAGTGTGTGCTGAGTTTCTTTCCCCGGTGTACAGCAGGGAGGAGACAAATGGTTCCGCTTTCTGGGTCCGAGATTTGACCTCAAGGAGTTAGGCTTTGTGTCAAGAAGGTTTACGTTTTTTTTGCTTGGCTCTCAATGAACAACTTATTGTTAAAATAACTTTTAGTATTATGTTTCTAGTTAGGGTCATATTCACTGAGGGAATCACTCTTGACCTCATGATAGAGCAAGTATCACTCACATTAGCTGTAATTCAGCTGGATTCAGAGAGAATGTTTCTGGGAATCAAATGACCACTGGCTCTTTGTTTTTACACCTTAACTGTGTATTTTTTTTTTTTCTAAATCACTTAACTGGAGTCTCCACAGCTCCAGTTAAGTGATTTAGAAAAATAATATACAATCTAAAACTTTGAATGGGAAGCTCAGGTCTAGTTTTTTTAATCTGTCTCTGTCAGAGAGCTGAATCCATGTTGTAAAATTTCCAAGTTTGTGAGTAGCAAGGAAAAACATAGCATTCTCTGGAGGCTGTGCTTGGTAAAACACATTAATTCCAAAAGATCCAAAAGTCTTTGAGAGACTGCAACTATGCTTTTTTTCCAATGTAGTTCCACCATTTCTCAGTGGTACCTGCTCTTTTATTGACATCCATGTTGTAAAATGTCTTAGACTGGCAATAAAGTCTGTTCAATTACTTTTTAGGATGGCTACAGGCTATGGGATAATTAATTATAATTAATATTGGTCTGCTTGCTTCCTTTGTGTTTTGTGAAGTGTTTTCAAAAGCTATTTGGTGCCAAATGCATAAAGCAAATTTAAGCCAATTTAAGTTTTTCTTCGGAGGGATCATTTATTAAAAATGATCACTTTGGACATTTTTTTTCTAATTTAGTTATCAGCTCAGCTTAGTTTTCTAGTATACACACGGGGGCTACTCTGGAACAGTCTTCACATCTTCTAAGCTAGAAGCAGATTATGACATGATGCCCTTTCTCTGTGCAAGTGACATTTATGGATCCTGAAGAGGACTTTCATACAGATCCGCGGTGGCTGCTTCCCTGAATCTACATTCTTCCTTGCCAGTTCTGAAAACTCATATTTCAAATGTTTCAAGAGTCATAACTAATAGTCGTGAATCTATGTGGCATGTGTATTACAGCTAGATCAGTTTGTATGTATAACTTTACATAGTATCTTGTGTAAAAATAGCTTTGGTTATTAAAATCATTGCAATAAAATACCTGCACTATAATATTGTGTTCTTTGGTACCTATGTGATATTTTTTTCAATGGATGGTCTATTGTTTCATTTCTTAAAAAATATCTGAATATTCCTTAACAAACAAAGAGAATGCACTGGTTTAGGTGCCATTCAAATTTTCTTTGCTGGGTTTGAATCTGCATTTTGGTTGCAGGCCTGGCAGGTTCAAACGCTAGGCTAGACAAGCAAAATCACACCCCTAATCCTATGAACTTGGACAACCCCACATCATGTTGGTTGCACTTCTACAGTGCAATGCTTCCTGAAGACCAGCCCTGCCTGAGTCCCTAACCACTGATGATGTGTGTGTGTGTGTGTGTGTGTGTGTGTGTACACAGGCACACATGCACACACCCACACATGGTACCGAGACACCTTTGTGGTGTGGTAGAGCTAATAAGAATGTCTGATCTTAAAAGATGTCCGCTTAATGGCTCAAACATCACTGTGCTTCAAATCGCCGAACCGCCAAGCACAGTGAAGACCAGGGATTGAAGGTGTGAGACCCGGTGTTTTAACGCTCATCACTTTTCTTGCCAAGTCCTTGCCCTGCTGAAGTGTGAGTCTTGGAACAAAGTCAGAATGCAGGTGAGCTTCAGTCTTTGGTTTCTTTGGACTATAAATACCACTTTGTTTTCTTCAAATATTTCTAAGTATAAACCTGCTATCTTGAGGTCCTGGTCTTTAAAAACTTTTTTTTTTTTTTTTAATTTAAAGCTTTTCCACCGAGGTTCTAGTACGTGGTTCCTCCTTCATGCTTTGGTACAAGTGCTTGATGAAGAAGATGAGTTGCCTGAACTGGAGCTGCCCTCGTCCTGCCACTTGTCCAGGCTCCTCCTCCTGGCATTCATGAAGAAGTTGCTGACAGTGCTGAGCTCCAGCCCCAGCTGCTGGGAAATGGTGATTTGCAATTCTTTGGACGGACGCTTATTTTCCTTGAATATTGCATGTAGAGTTCGACGTTGGACGTCTGTGAAGACCAGCCTGGGCTTTTTGGGGGTGTTGCCTCTATCCTTCCCATGTTCTTGCTCTTTCCTTTTGCATGCTGCAAAGAAACATGGAGACTGTTTAGAACAAATTCCCTGTGGGGGACAGAGTAGAGAGGCAGGGCCAGTACCACTGGTCAGTTATCCTTATAGCCTGCTTTCTGTCTGCTGACCCCTGACTAAAGCATAAGGGTGTCCGGGAAGGAGTATAATAGAAGCAGGGAAAATTGAAACACAGGTGGAGTTCTGTGCAACTTGGGTGTGGGTCCTGGCACTCACTAGTCTCTGTACTCTCTCCTAGGTATGTCAGGAAGCTCTATTGAGTTTCTGGCTAAATGAACTGATCCATTTGAGTTTTTCTTTTAAAGGGAAATTTAATTTTAAAAAATTTAATTGTGGGGCTGGAGAGATGGCTCAGCAATTGAAAGCACTGACTACTCTTGCAGAGGACCTGGGTTTGATTCCCAGAACCCACATGGCAGCTACAAACCCTCCTTAACTCCAGTTCCAGGGGAATCTGAAGCCCTCTTCTGACCTCTGGTGGCATTGCATGACACAAGGGCACTTACATACATGCAGGCAATACATTCATACACATTAAAAAAATTAATTGTATGTTTCTGTGTATGAGTACATGCACATAAATTAAGGTACCCAGGGAGGCCATCAGATCCTCTGGAGCCAGACTTAACAGATGGCTGTGAGCCACATAACGTGGGTTTTGGGAACAAATTTGGGGTTCTCTGGAAGAGCAGTAGGCATCTTTAACCACTGAGGCATTCTCTCTAGCTCCAGTTTGAACTTTTAGTTTTTAACTTTTTTTTTTTTTTTTTTCGAGACAGGGTCCACTAGATAGCTGGCCTGGAAACTTTTATGTAAACAAGGCTGGCCTACAACTCACAAAGATCTATCTTCTTCTTCCTCCTGAGTGCTAGGATTAAAGGAATTGTCACCATGTCCAGCCTTACTTTTTAATTTTTAAAGATCTTTAAAATTTTTTATTTATTTTTATTTTATGTGTATGCATGTATTGCCTGCATGTAGGTAAGTGCACCTGTGTCCTGCAATGCCCTTGGAGGTCAGAAGAAGCTGTTGGATCCCGGATCCCTTGGGTTACGGATGGTTGGTAGCTACCATGTGGGTGCTGGGAATTCAACCTGGGTCCTCTGCAAGAGCAGCCTGTGCTCTTAACTGCTCA